TTCTTCTTCTTCTTCTTCTTCTTCTTCTTCTTCTTCTTCTTCTTCTTGTTTTATGGCGAATAACTCCTTAGGAGCATTATCGCCACCTACTGTACTGGAGGTCAAGTAAACTTTCATAGGTGATGAGTCTGAAATTTGAGTACTAAAAATTTTTTTTTACCAAAATAAACCTTCAAAACCCCCAAAAACCATGGTGGATGTTTCCTATTCTCTCCAATCTATGGCGCACTCAGATCACATGCTCATGCTAGCGCTGCGTGTTCAGCTCCTCTAACACTCACAATTAGCTCTTCATGCCCCAGATTAGGTAGAATACTCCCATCCACACATATTATAATCTAGATCCTAAACCTGAGTCATAGATATATTTAATTAGTGCTCTGTATACGTGTCTATCCATTAAACCTTTTCCTAAAATATCTTCATGTGTCAATCTTTCCTCCCCAAAGTGACTAAATAATATGTCACGATATACACTATATTTACTACACCTAAAAAGTACATGATATAGATTTTCAGATAGGCTACACCACATACATCGCATAACCCATTTTCATATAAACCCATAAGTGCCAGTGTTGATTTCAACCCTGTATGTCCCAGTCTTAATCTAGACAGCCACACCTCTTCTTTCCTATTTCTTCCCTGACAATTTATCCTCCCTACTGTCTGCGTAATATTATAACACCATCTCCCTGTGCTGCTATTATCCCATCTAATTTGCCATTTATTCATTAACTTTTTCTTTAAAATCGACTTTGCCTCCCTTTTTCCCATAGGCACTTTAACATCCACCTCCATCTTGTCTAGTGCTTTTTTTGCTAGTTTATCAGCAACTTCATTACCAGATACCCCAACATGTGCTGGCACCCAACAAAAATATACCATTATTCCAGCCTCTTTCAATCTGTATAAAGATAGATACACTTCCATTAATAAATCTTCTCTGTCTGATCTCGCATGTGCTATACTAATTAAAGCTGAAGACGAATCTGAACATATTACCACTTTATTTGGTCTGACTTGTTCAACCCACTGTAGTCCTATTATTATAGCTGTTAACTCTGCAGTGTATACTGATAAATCATCTGGCAATTTCAAACTAATTCGTACTTTAAATTTTGGAATATATACACCTATTCCAACCTTTTGATTAACAGGTTCCTTTGATCCATCCGTAAATATTTGTAATGTTGAATAAAATTTATTATTTAGAATAGCATTAACCTCCTTTCCAATGTATTCACCTTTGGGCTTGTCTAGTAAGCTCAAGTCTATAGTGGTTCAGGGACTCTCCATAGTGAGGCATCAGGCATCAGCCATACTCCTTGGCCCATACTCTACTCTTCCATCCAAAACTACATCCTCCATCATACGAATATTCCCAGCACTCCTCCAGTACTTTACGAGTATGGTGAGTACTTACTGATTGTTGAAGATTCACCCAATACGTCATTGTCAATTTTATCCTTCTAAGTTCAAGAAGCATCTCGCCCATTTCTACCCCAATTGCATCAACAGGTGATGTTTTAATTGCTCCACAACATATTCTTAATGCTCTGGATTGTATGATATCTAATTTTGTAAGTAAAGATTTGGTTGCTGACCCATATACAATGCATCCATAGTCAAAGCAGGAAC